TTGTGAGCGCAGTGCTTCCCCGTAAAAACTCCAGTAGAGTATATTCGCTCAGTTCCGTGTCCTTCTCACCCTGGGGATTAGAATTTGGGTTTTCTCTCACAGATGTGCAAAGAAATCCACAAATGTGCTTACAGCGTCTCGCGGAAGCAGTGGGAAGCTGTCTGCTTTGGGGTGTCCGTTTTTTCTCCTGATTCAAATCCCGGGTTAGGAACGAGAGCACCTCGACCGGGGAGGGTGCTCCCAGATCCTGGCCCGGCTCGGCGATCTTTAGGGAGAGGAAAGCACCAGGACTCACAGGACGCCTGGGGTTTGGGGGCTCTCCCGGACCCCATCTTCACACGTGTCCTAGGAGCCGGCTTCTATGCTGGCCACACCCGGGCTGCAGGTCCCCACACCGGCTCTGGGGCCCGCGCAGGCGTCCGGCCTGTGCTGGGGTGCGCGGGGGCCCGGGAGCCCCAAGAGAGACGCTATTGTTACACTGTAACGAGTCTGATTAACACGCTGCTGACACTTTCTCTTAGTTTCTTCGGCTCCTAGCAACGGCGCACAAAGGCGAGGGATTGTCCCGGTCTCCGCGGGGACACGGGCAGCCTTTGATCTCGCGCCATTACAGCCTGGCTGTGCGACAGGCTCGCGGGGCCGGGGAGGCCCGTGGTCCCGGCTGCTGGCCCGGCCGGAGCCCCAGCGCCGCTCACCGTTAGCTCCCCGCGCCGGGAAGGGCGGCCGCGGCCGTGGGCAGCGTGGGGCGCGGCGCCTCCACGCGCGTCCACCGCGCAGGCACCGCTCCCCCCAGCCGCCGACGGCAGCCTCACCCTGCCCTTCCCGTCGGGAGGAGCAAAAGGAAAACCCAGCCAGTCACAATGAAAAACAAATGAAGGGAAAAACATCCAAAAGGAAGGACACAGCCCACAGTCCCCCGAACGTAAATAAGCCGCTTGGACGAAGCCGAGCCGCTCGCCACAAAGTGGGAGCTCCCGAGGACTTCGGGCCGCCCAGCGCGCTCGGCTCCCCTGGCAAGCCTTCCGGGCCTCCAAGGCTGCCAGATAATTACTAGAATCTAAGCAAGCCACGTCCTCAAGAGTCGCCCGCCCCAGCACAGGGACAGCTGCCGGGTCCCCTGCGCAAGTGTCACAGGTACCGGAAAGCAATTCCCTTTCCAGGCCGGTCGCTGTCTTAGCCACCTCCCCTGGCCTCAGCCGAAACAGGGTGCAAAGAAAGAAGAGGTAGGCTTCAGCATCTCAATGCTAGGTTCAGGTAATTCCTTCCCCTAAATTGCAGAAAGTGAAGGCTTTGCAGGGGGGCGGGGGGAGCACCGTGTCCCCAAATCCTGAATTTACAGAGCGCCCGTGGCTCCGCCAGGGTCCGTGTCCCAGGCTGCCGTGGGAAGATCTTGCCACCGCATTGGGCTTCGTCGTTTCAGCCGCTTTCCTAGCACCAGAGGGAAAATGGAAAATAAAAATCCAGAGGATTCAGATTGCAAAATAAACGCAAGTTCTAAAAGCAGAATTTCCTGGAGAGAGAAAGAGAGAGAGAAGGGGGGCTGGTATTCTTTTCTCTCTCTGAGGCAACTTAGAAAATTCCATAGTCCCCCAAGAAAGCCAGTTTCCCCAACTCCCACAGAACGAGTGAGTGCAAAGGTGACTTCCATTTTAGCGAGGACACTGCATGACTGGATCTATTTACCCAGCAGAATATGCCAGGCAAGCAGGGACTTTCAAATTCAAACTCCGGAGGCGAAGTCTTCATGGGGAGGGGGGACGGGACACTATTTCCCTGCCTATTTCTAGGACAGTCAGGGCCGGCTCGGCCCGCAGGACAACTAGAGGGCAAGCCGGAGAATCTCCCCAACTTGCGGCCCCAGCCGGAGCCTCATCCGGCCAGCCGGAATTCCCCTCACCCTTTCAATAAAACATGGCTGTACCGATCCAATCCTCTATACATTAAAATGAGTTTGTCACAGATTGTCATTAAGACCTCAGTAAAACAATGAAGACATTATTGGCCCCCTGTCCCTCGGGCAAGGTATTAAAGGAATAAAGCAATCCACACCACACGGGTCCTATTGAGATTAATGAAAAAATTATGCAAAAAAAATCGCAATTTCATTTTCCCGTGACGAGGCTTTCCGTCCATCCCGTTGGCCTTGCTTCGCACCTGATGATTTATTAAACTAATCTGTGGCGCTCAACCGCTGATGTTCTCAACTCAATCTTGTCCCGGCTCATTTTCTAAGTAATTGTTTCTCATTAGTTCTGATAATGTTTTAACAGTGTTATCCATGATTTAGCCTCCTGGAATTAATAACAAGGGGCTGATATCGGCTGCCATGAGGCACACAAAACTATGAACAGGTATGCTCTTAATTAATCTGATGAGCATCCCGTCCCTGTGCTCTGCCCAGCAGAGAGTGCCGGCCAGCTTCTCCTCGTGCCTGTGGCCTACAGCAGGGCCCGGCCAGGCTCACTCAGCCCTTTGTCCTGCTCCTTCACCTCGTCGGGGCACTGAGGCTGCGGGTTCGGGCCCTGGAACACCAGCCTCTAGAGTCTTCCTGGTTTAGAGTTCTGTCTCTCAGGGAGTGAGGGCCCGTAGGACTGTGGCAGCCACTGACCCTCTTCTGGGGCCCTTGTATCTGCTCAACAACTGGCAATGGGCCCACATCTTTCCTCCTGTGGCCCAGTCCTGGGATAGATCCTGCCGTAAGCGGCCTTTCCTGGTTATGAGGTTGGTCAACCTGAGGTCTGAGAAGACCTAGCCAATGAAGTGGCTCTGAGCTGGGCCCGGTGGTGGACATCTGTAATCGAAGTACATAGGAGGATGGCGCAGGAGGACTCCCATGGGTTTGATGCCAGCCTGGGGTACATGTCAAGACTGTGCTCCAAAATCAAACCTGGAACCAAACAGTGATCTTGTGTGAACAGGAAGTAGGGGACAAGGTTAGAGACAGTCCAACATAGTAGGGACCTCGGAAAGGCCTCGCTGGGCCTGTGCTCAGGGCCACGTTAGACGGTTGCTTTCTTGGGGATCCATGGCTTCCACCATGCTGGTGGGGTTTCCCTGGAGGGCCCCGGCTTGAGGACCCCAGTGTGTGTGAACTCCGGGGGGGGGGGGTTCCCCTACCAGAGTGGAGGCTGGCACATGTGCCCTGTCTTTATTACAGCCAATGGCTTACCTGAAGTCAGTGCTCCCTGCTACTCCCAAGGTGTGTGTCTGCGTGTGTGTGTGTGTGCGGGGGGGGGGGGGGGTGGTGGTGGTGCATACATTCATGAGGACGTCAAACCCACCGTTCCCTGGCGGCTTCTAGCAGCCTTCCTAAATCTTTGTTTTAGGCAGACAGGAGGCCTGATGGTCTGCCTTACCCTGTGTGCCCCTGGCCCTGCCATTCCCAGCTGCAGCCTGGGGACTGGGGGGGCTTCTTGTCCAGACATGCTGTCCATGGCCCCTGTCTACTGTCTGGTGCTTCCTGGAGCAGCCACCTCCCCCATTCCCATCACCTTTCCTGGAATCTCTGGGGAAGCACGGGGCAACCCAGGTGAGGGGCAACAGTGATTGCCTGGCGGGGTGCTCATGGGGAAGGGAAACACGGGGCCCAAAGCTGGTGGCCGCAGCCCAGCTGGCCTCAGAGGAAAACCCTTAGGTACCCTGCTTGTGGGCATTCGTGTCTCAAGAACGTTTCTCCAGGTCCCTCAGTTTGGCTTAGGCCACACGCCGGACGGGACTGTGGTTTCTCCTCGGAACCCTGCGGGGGGGATACGGCGGCCGAGGGGCAGTGGCTTCCGACCTGGCAGCGGTGTGATGACATGCCACCTACCTCCCAGGGCTGTCTGTAGGCACCGAGAGGATCAGGGTGAGAGGCAGATCTAGGATGGGGCACACGCCAGGGGCCATGAAGGGAATACACCAGAAGGGCCTGGGAGGAGGAGAAAAATGAGACTGGGAAACAACTGTTTTCTATTTACAAATTTAAATAAACAGAACAGCCTTCCCCTGCGGTGTCTGCCTAAGAGGAGCAGCCTCGCTGCTGAGGAGGTCATGAAAAGGTTGCTGTGGAGTCTTAAACGTCCCATTCTGCTAATTTCTTAAAGAACAGTGGTCCGGAGTCTCCACACAAAGGCTCATGATTTAATGAGGAAGAGAAACAAAATCTCCGCTTGTTGGTGTTTCAAACTTCATTGGCGTCCTCTGGCACGCACACGTTGATCCTCAGGGCCTTCAATACCCCTTGGCCTTCAGTAGAAGAGTCCGTGCTGAATAGAGGACAATGGCTGCTTGTTATGTTTGTTTACTCTTCCTACAAGCCGGGCTAACCTCTTCAGAACAGCTCTCCTAAGCCCGTCAACCGCAGCACCCAGCAGACCCACAGCTCCTCTCTAATGCGATGCAAATCCCGCCGGCCATACACCAGCCTGTGGCTCTGTGTCCTCTAGACCAGGCTATGGTGGAGAGCCCCACCCTGGCCCTGCATTTCCAAGGGAAATGGCCTCGGTGGTGGCCAACAGCTAAGCAGGGAGATGAAGGGGAGAAAGGACAGTCTCATTTTCCCTGCATTGATTTTTTAATTGACAGTAACTGTTGACCCCAAGTATTCACCCAAGAGGAGAGCTTTCAGGGGTCACCATATGGATGGAGTATTTTGCCGATAGTGGCTTCCCTGGAAATCAGCGTTGAAAGTTGAATTTTTTAGAAGCCAATATAATACATAACATTTTAAATGTCATCTTCGTTGTTTTAACTTATAACTCATAAAACTGCTGAAACCTTGATTTTGATATTATGCTTAAAAAGCCTGGCCTTAAAATTATCTGTGGTGTCCGGCATCCAAATGAACAAAACTGGAAATATTTCTTAATAAGAGAAGAATAGGAAACATTCCAGAACACATCAGAGTATGCTTCACTGAGGACAGGCGTCTTCTCATCTGTCTTTCCTCCCACTTCTATCTCCCCACGAGATAATAAACCCGTATTTATAACACATTAATAGACAACTGTAAAACTGTAAGCTCAGACTCCAAAGGAAGAGAGTTTATTTTTGGAATAACTGGTCAGTAGGGCACAGGGGCGAGGGGGCTGTGACTAACGTGAGCTGTACATGAAGCCAGGGCCTGGCCGGGCATGCTAGCACGCTGCCTTGGGGACTGTGGTCTGTGGTCTGTCTTTAGAAACCCACTGCATCCACTCAGGCCGCCTGAGGAGGGCTTCATTTAGCAGATCACTTTTCCTTGATGGATGTGGCAAGCGTAACAGTGTTCTGGGCCTGCTTCAGTAAGGGCATGTCGATCATGCTTCCTCGGAAAGTAAAGGCTCCCTGGAAAACAGAACACAAACTTCCTGAAAGAATGCTCGCAAATCACAGGCTTCTTTTCCTGTGCCACGAGCACACAGAGATCCCACCTGAGTCGGGCTGACTTTCCTGCCCAACTTTTGAGAAACACCAGAGCAAATTGCAGGGGAGAGATTTCTTTTTATCCTCCTACAGAGGTGGGGAGGGAAAAAAAAAATCCTTCAGCATTTTAACGAAGAGGAAAAAACACATCAGACACAAAATGTGCAAACTGTTCATTTCACTCTTGAAAAATCAAACAGAAAACAACTGTGGAAGAAAAATTTAAATACTTCCTTATTTGAAATATTGTGTGGGATTTTGAAGCAGTAATGTGCTCTGGCGAGTGATTGCTGTTTTTAGGTTACTAACAATGCTTCCTTCTTGCCAGACATAATGAAGGTGCTACTCCAGGGTGATGAGAATATGTGGAGTAGACTACAGTGAGCAAAAAGAGACCGTGCCGCTGAGACGCACAAGCCAATGGCAAAGAAGCCATTCTTAGACGGTTGGCCAGTCAGAATGGGAGGCCCCTGCTCCAACCCTGCACGCTCCGTTTTCCTGATTCCTTCTTTCTTAAGCCTTACTCATTCCGTGTGGCATATTGATGCTTTAGGACACTGGCAGCTGACACTTTAGTCAGCTGCCAAAGTCACATGATGGGAAGGGTTGGAGTTATGGGTCTGAATCTCCAACTTCAAGCCTTCACTGGAATAAATTAAAAAAAAAAAAAAAGCAGGAAAATTCAACTGACAGAAGGCACAGATCCCAAAGTACTTGTGTTCTTGTTTGCTTTTTGTTTTCGCTCTGCCATGTTGTAGGCTGCCCTTCAAGTCAAGGTAATCATACTGCTTCAGTCTTCCAAGTGCTACAGTTACAGGTATGAGCTACCATATCTAGCTCCGCACAATTGCAATCTTATCGTTGTTTTTGAGACGGCATCTGACAATGTAGCCCCAGCCTGGAGCTTGCTATACAGACCAGGCTGGCTTTGAACTCATAGAACTCTGCCTGCCTCTGCCTCCTAAACTCTTGGATTAAAGGCTTCTGCCATCATTCCTGGCTCTTAATAGTTTTACATTTTTGTTTGTTTTGAAGTGCTGGAGATGAAACTTGAACCCTTCTAGACAATGGCTCTACCAGTGAACCACATTTCAGCCAAGGCTAATCCACAGCTTTCCCCTCCTCTTCTCTGTTGTCAAGGATGCTGCTGAGAGAGCCCAGAGGTGGGAGACCCATGCTCACCCTTGATGGCTTGTTTATATATCACAGCCCACTTCCTATTTCATAAGTCAGAGTAGAGCTTGTCAGTAGTCGGCACTGTCCCTGCTTCTGAGATGGGCATGATGGGAGCTGCCGTGAGGGTTGTCAGGTGGACACAGAGGTGCTCGGAACAGAAACAAAGAACTGTGGCAGAGAATCCTTGGCAATGTTCGGGTTTGATCTCTCAGGAGAGAGATTTAAGCGCCTGCATAACTAGCATTTTTCTAGGAATGCCTAGTCCTCTTAGCATGATGGATCCAACTCTTAGGCCCCCGTGTGGCCTAAAATCCTGCATTTGGGCCACTTTCTGACCCTCTCCTTCAGCATTTATACCCTTCAGTCGTTGGCCTTTGGCTCACTCCGCACAGCCTAGAGCTGAGCCGGGTCATCGAGGACCATGGTGAACTTTATGGATCTGGTTGGGGAGGTTCCCCAGGGTAGCATTCCACGGAGACCAGGGGTGGGTCTCAAGCTGTTTTACAAGGCAATAGGCCAGTTTTCCCATTGGAGTAAAGAGGAATCACAAAGGCCTCTTGGTTACCGGCCCACCGAGGGGATTATGGCCCCTGTAAAACAGTGTCTGTCCTTCCAAGGTTTAACTAATAGGCTGGCAAGAGAAAGTTAGCACAGATGCACATGAGATAAGCAAACAAACAAAACACTCCCCCAAGACAAAACAAAGAAACCCAACCCCCACGCCATGAGCCCTGAATCAAAAGTGATCCCTTTGGGTTAGGCCTTGTCTCCTGAAACCCATCAGAGCTGAGAAATACTCCCCGCTGCTGTTTAAGACCCAAAGAGAACATTTCTTTCTTTTGTGGGGCGGATCTGGCTTGATTTCCTTTATGTGTGTAAACTGAGGACCTCAGTCATCAGAATTAGAGGACTTGGCGTGGTATCCATATGTCTTCATACATCAGTTCATAAGACTCCTGCTTTTTAATGTATGGATTTACCTGGGAAACGTAAATAGTCTGGTAGTCAGGACTTGTTTTAAAAAACATAACCTTGTCAAAGGTTACTTGGATTTTGGGAGGACAGTTTGAAGCTAATGGAGGAGTTTCTGTCTCACTGGCTGGTGCTTCTTTTTAAAAAATTGACATCCCATCTCAAAATACGCAAGGAATTTTTGTCAGCATGAAGACTCAGGTTATCATTTCATTTTAAGACGTCTTGAAGAGGCTGGCGAGATGGCCCTATGGTTAGAGCACTGACCGCTCCTGCTGAGGGCTGACTTTGATTTGCAGCATCCACATGGGGGCTCACAACTGCCTGTAACTCTAGTGCCAGGGAGCCCAACACCCTCTCCTGGTCTCTGCAGGTCCTGCACGCACATGGTACACACGTACATGGAAGCAAACATCCTTGCCGATAAAGTAAACACATCTTTTAGAAGTGCCTGTGAACAGCACCGAGCTTGGGGCCACAGACTTTGAGAGCCGTGCTGAGAGCATGATAATGGCTATAATCTTTTGAGCAGTTGCTCACCTCGGAGCCCATCGCTGGAACCCTCACACTTTGTTTCATGGATACTGCCCACGACGACACATGGCTAGAGACACCAGCATTCACCCCATGAAAACATCCTTTCCGGGCGCTGAGAAAGAGCATTACTTGGGAAAGTGCTTTCGCCTAAGCACGAGGACCCAGGCACAGTCTCTAAGACCCTGTAAAAGGCATGGCTGTGGGTACCGGCAATCCAGGGCGGGGGGGGGGCAGTGACGGGAGGATCCCTGGGGCAGGCTGGCCCACCAGCCTAGCCGAATTGGTGCCCTGTGCTCCCGGATCAGTGATAGACTCTGCTTCAAAAACTAAGGTGGCCAGCAACAGAGGGACCCTGTCAGTGACTTCTGGCCTTCCCATGTAGCTGCACAAACACAAAAACCCTTTCATTTCTGTAGAAAACATGCACTGTGGAGATGACCATCTACGCTAATTTTATAGAAAGAGGGCGAGAGCGGCAGAGTTACCAACACCCACAGTGCCGGGCGGCAGAGCTCCTGCTTGTTCCGTCTGCCGAAACTAAAGCTGTACCCGGCGACAACCCCCCTTTGCCCGTCCCGGCTGCCGGCTGCCCTGCTTCCTCCGTCCGTTCCTGATCCGCAACTTCAGAACCTGCTGCAAGCCCGCCCTGTAGCTCACTAGAATAGAACAGGAACAAAACAGATTCGCTTTTCTTTTTCTTTTTTCTTTTGTTTTTGGAGATAGGGTTTCTCTGTGTAGACCAGGCTGGCCTCCAAGTCAGAGAGATCCACCTGCCTCTGCCTCCGGGTGAGTGCTGGGGTTAGAGGACTGTGCTACCACTGCCTGGCCTCGTGCTTGTTCTCTAAAGATTTATTTAAGATGATATATTTGTGTGTGCTTCTGTATGTGGGTAGCGCACGGTAGCACAGGTGCTCATGGAACATCCAGAAGACAGTGTTAGAGCTGGGGTTACCGGGGGTTGTGAGCTGCTGGTTTGGGTGTTGTAAACTGGCTCTCAGAACTTCTGCAAGAGCAGAACATACTCTTAACCACTGAGCCACTGCTCTGGCCTCAAAACACACTTACCTGACTCAAATCTTGTGTGTTCTTAAAAGCTTTTGGGTTAAGAACTGTGCTGAGCATGTTCTGTGATTAGCGGGATCAGACTCCAGCACAAATAACCACTCTTAGTCAGCTGTGCTCTTTGTTTTGGAGGGGTTGTGTTAAAAGTGCAGCTTCCCAGCTCAGTCCAGCAGAGTTAGAAAGCCTGGAGGCTGGCCAGGAAGCTCTCAGGATCCCAAGTCAGTTCCATTTGTGACCTGTGCTGCGCTGCTCTGAGCTGAAGTGGCCAAGTTACAAGAACATGCTTGCTGAGCGCAAGACCATACAGGCCTCTGTGACCTCAGCCAGAGCGTCTTCCCGGTGCTCAGGCACCGACGTCTCGTAGGCTGCTCACCACCATCTGCCGCCTGTGCCAGGCCCTGGGGGACCCGCTGAGGACCAGAGGGGAGGACTCCATCCCTGTCCTCTGGAGCTCCAGTTGTGAGCAGGAAGAAAAGCTGCAGAGGCCTCAGGACAGACGAGGGCCGTGGCTCGGCGCTGGCTTTCTACCAGCCAGAGCCTTGCTCACCAGGCTGCACACCTCCTGTGCACGAGGCTTTGCACACAGCGGCACCACACACATTCCACATGAGTTGCCCTCGGGCTCAGGCCATGCAAACTTCTGTTCTGCAGTGGCCAGTTGGGTCGTTTATCGTGGAAGGTCCCTAGTCAGTGTCCTGGCACTGCTTGTTGCATAGAGGTCTGAGACTGAGAGTCCTGGAAGTGATGACATCTGAAGGGAGGGGAGGGGCCGACGCAGGCTTTGGGTATGTGGCTCCGAGCTCATCCCTGGTGAGGTGTGCACTGAGGGAGGGCTGCACTGCAGCCTGATTGTAAAGCGCTGGCCTAGCTCTGAGGGGCTCCGAGTTCACCACACACACATGCACGCACGCACGCACGCACGCACGCACGCGCGCACGCACGGATGGCTCAGGGCAGCCCTGAGGTAACGAGACCCTCCTCCTCCCCTCAGGCCTTTTGAGGAGAATGTGTGTCTTCTAGGGAAGGTGGTGATGGGAAAATGGGTGGTACCAGAAGAGTGATCACGTCTGCAGGGAAGTCAGTTTCCGGAACGCAGGCCTGAAGGGCTCTGTATGTTCTTCCTTCTCTAGAACACTAAAAGACCAGTTTGCTAGGGGCTGACACTGTTGTGAGCT